CCGATCGCTGCAAAATCCCCACCACCTCTGGCGGAGTACGTGCGCCGCCAGGGGGGGCGGCCCGTCCACCCACCTCCCCACTAGAAGGATGAGATTGCTCCCATCGGAGTCGCGGATCCAACCCGCGCGTTATGTTGTTTCCATCGTACTTAAGGACCACATACCAGAAATACTTTCGAGCACCCAGCAGCAAAGAATCGAATCAGTGTCGATCGAGTATCGCCTCCGAGGGCCCGACACGTGAAAACCCTCCAATTTCGGTATTTCGGTACTTGTTTTGTGCTCGAAATCATTTCTGGCGGTCAAGGCTGAAGCAGGCTGGAACACCATAGTCCGCGAATCGAATCGCATCGAACCGGATCGTAACCAGCCCTGCCCTCCCTCAGGCCCACGCGACGGCCGATGCTGGGACGTCTGCGGCCTCTGGAGGCCGCTTCCTGACCCCAGGACCGTCCCCAAGCAGGCGGCGTCAGGCGGAAGGGGGAAGCACGCAACTCTAGAGAGCCATCCCTGGTTGGACATTGCCCCAGTGGGCCCCGCGATCGGCGAAAAGCGAGGAGCGCCTTCGCTTAGGTCGGGCATGTCCTCCTACAGTCGGATTTTGGAGGGAAGATAAAACATAGTCAAATCATATAGAAAACAATTCGCCGGCCCAACGGGCCAGCGGCGTGCTAAAATCTCCGGTAACTGGTTGACAATATTTCTACTTCGCGCGCGCGGGGCTGCCCCCAGGGTCCCCCCGACGAAAAATACCCCGGGACGGTCCCGGGACGCTCGGGCCAGAGATGGTTTTCCGTTTGGGCGCCGCCCTCGAGGCGCTCCAGAGAGCCCCAAGAAGGGCCCAGAGGCCTTCAAGAGGCCCCCAAGACAATAGACGACGGGTCCGAGAAGCCACAAGATCGCTCCAAGACGTCCAAGATGGCGCCTGGACGCCCCGAGAAGTCTCCAAGAACCCTCCCAAGAGAACCTCCAAGGGCAAACATTGATGATTTCCCGTTGGTTTTCTCATGATTTTGGCTTCTCCGCCTTATCGGCTTACAAGCGCGTCAAAACGGCCCAAGAGGCCCCCAAGATCCCCCCAACACGGCCCAAGAGGACTCCAAGAGGGCCCCCAAACGGCTCCAACGGGCTCCAAGATAGCCCCAGAGGCCTCCAAGATGGCCCAAGAGCCCCCCAAGACATCCCCAAGAGCGGGCCCAGACGGGGGACCCGAACGGAGATTTCGAGCTCTCGGCCCCGAAAGGTCCCCAGAATGCCCCAAGACGCCCCCAAGAAGCTCCCAAGAAGAGTGCGTAGAGATCACATTGAGTAGACCGTGACCCCGTCCCAAGCCTGATCCTCGTTGCGTTAGGCTTCCCAAAGTCAGCTCCAAAATGCCTGCAGCTCATCCGCATGTACACACATACGCCCCCACTGATGCGCACAACCAAATACATAAATTCGCTGGCCCAACGGGCCAGGGGCGTGCTAAGATCCCCGGTAACAGGTTAACAGTGTTTCTAGTGCGCGCGCGGGGCAGCCCCTGGGGGTCCCCGAGCGCTATAAGCACCCCCAGCAAGTCCCGGCAAGCCCCGGCAAGTCCCCGGCAAGTCCGGGGCAGAGATGCCAGACCAGGCAATTGTTCGACACCCCTCACGAGGATCGTGGCCTCCGAGGGGAAGGCGCCGTCGACTCCCCCCCCTCCTGTCCCAAGAAGCGGCCAACAGGCTCCCAAGGAGCCAAGCGGCGCCCAAGAGGCCCCCCAAGAGGCCGCAAAGAGGCCCCCAAGAGGCCCCAAAGAGCGCTCGATGGGGGCTGGCGGAATGAGCGAAGCGATTCAATAATCCAAGAATAATCGAAAAATCGTCTCCCGATTTCTCTAAGTATGTTTGGATATTCCTCCAGTAGAGGGACATGCCCGATTTAAGCCTTCGCGTCGTCGGCCGGCGGGCACGCCTGCCAACATCACTTGGCGCGGCGCTTCCCCCGGAGGCCCGACGTCACAAGCAAAGGCAACACCGCGGAACCACGGCTGGAGCCATACAGGCTGGATATTTCTGCGGCGCGCACAAGGGGGTGGGGGGAGGGAGGTTGCCTTCTTAGAAGCACCCTGCTTCTTAGAAGGCACCGGCCTCACATCTACAGATAAGGCCCGCGCCTTCTACGAAGCCCTCCCCCTTCCCCCCACACCCTCTCGGGCTTCTCGTCAAGGACGGGGGGCAACTAAGGGGGGATGAAAAAACGGGCACCTTGTGTGCACCTTCTGTGGGTCAGCGGAAGCAGTTTAGGGGTCCTTTGAAGCCCATTGCCTGCCATTCTCGATTCCTTCGCGTTTATATCGCCCGCCTCTGCCGTCCGCGAACTTCTCTCGAGCAGGGGCGATCCGTGAGGGTCCCGGGGGCCCGAAACCATACGCGAAAAAGCACGAGGTGAGCCCCGATCCTCAACTATCGAATGCTGTTCGCCTCAACTGCCAGCCCATTCCCCGTCTATTGTATGAAGCTGGTTGCAATGCCAATCCAAACACTATACTGATGTTGCGACTTCTTCTTCTTCTTCTTCTTCTTCTTCTTCTTTTGTCTCGCCCTGTGTTCTGCGATCAAGGGACGACGCCCGTCGCCCTGAAGGGGTGAGTCCTGGCAGGTCCCCAGAGGCGAACCCAGCCAGGGCGACGGGGGGGCCGCAAGGAGGGCCCCAAATGGCCGGAAGACGCTCAAAAAACTCGACATCCTCGAGGTCGTCGCCGTCCGTCGCCGTCGTCGTCGCCGTCGTCGTCGCCGTCGTCGTCGCCGTCGTCGTCGTCGCCGTCATCGTCGTCCTCCTCGTCGTCGTCGTCGTCGTCGCCGTCGTTGTCGTCGTCGCCGTCGTCGCCGTCGTCGTCATCGTCGCCGTTGTCGTCATCGTCGGCGGCGCGGCGCTCCCCAGAGCTCCAACGCCATTGTTCTTTCGCAGCGCAACGCGGTCCCCGGGGGTATGGATCCCTTCCCCGCCAAAACATTGAAAGACGCACAATGTGCTTGAACGATTCAAGCTTTTTGGGGCATCATTGGGAGGCTGTTGGGCCAAGACGGCTCCAAGACGGCACACGATGCTCTGAGGCGGCCTCTGAGACGACGCTGGATGGCCCCAGCTGGCTCAAGAGGGCTTCCAGCATGCAGATGGCCCCAGAACGGCTCCAAGCGGCCTCGGGGCCTCCCAAGATCACCCCCGGGTACGCTTCCCCCCGGGGTATGCTCTGTCGCGCCGAATCGTTTTGGGCGTCCTGGGGTCCCGCGAGGGCCCCGAGGAGAGGCCGAAAACCGGTGGAAACCGCCCTCGCTACCTTCACATTTTGTTTGACAGGTCTGGCTTTCCGGCCACAGCTCGGGCCGGCTGGCGGCCGATCGGGACGAATCCGGCATCCCTGGAATAGTCTCCCCGAGAGGCAGCTGCTAGAAATCACCCCGAGGCGAGAAGTACCCCAAGCACGCCAAAGAGACCATGAATGACGAAACACATCCGCTCTGACTTCTCCAATGCATTCCCTGAAGCCCGACGATCTTATTTCTTCAGCAGTCCGCGGCCCCAAAGGTCCCTGCCCCTTCCCGAGGGTTGGCTTGCGTTCCCGGTCAATTTTTTGATAGCCCCGGGGCCCGAAAGCGGCCGAAATCGAGGGAAAAATCCAGGACGGGAAAGCACTGTCGTCGGAGATGTGGGTTCCGAGAACCCCGACGTCCAGAACTCCACACGACGTGGACCCCCAGAGGCCTGGACCCCTTCCCGTCGGGAGCGGCCAAGAGGGGGGTGTCTAAGAGGGGGGGGGTGCAAATCATGACCGGCGGCATGTGCGCGGCCCAGCGGGGGGGCCAGGGACGCAATGAAATAAGAAGAGGCGCCATAAAATCTGGGGAAATATCATGGCCCCCGCCATGATATCCCCCCCCCTAGTCATCACCCCCCTCTTTGCCGCCCCCAATTCTGGGCCTCGGGTGGGCTTGGCCAGGATCGGTGAATGTGGACAGTTCTGGTCGCTCGACTGAGGGGCATCCCCGTGGGATGTGGAGGAGGAATGAGGATGAGGATGAAGAGGAAGAGGAGGAGGAGGAGGAGGAGGAGGAGAAGGAGGAGGAGGAGGAGGAGGAGGAGGAGGAGTCATTAGCCCTCTCTTTGCCGCCCCGGATCCTGGGGACCAGCTTTTCATCCCGAGCCGTTCTGTTGACAGCCCCGCGGCCTCACGAGGCCCCCAGGCCGAACGTCTGCCCAAACTGAAGGGAACACATAAATACACACAGATAAGAAGATTCCACATCTGTGACTTTTTTTGGGGGGGTTCTCGTCTTCCCCCCCGCTTCCCGTATCTCCCCATACTTCTGGGGAGTCGACGATTCATTGTGTCTGTGTGTTTCTTTCCCTCCTGACAGACCCTCGGGCCTCTGGCGGCCGATGGGGACGATCCGGGCAGCCCTGGATGCCTCTCGGCAAGGCGCAGCGGCCGAGACGCGCCCCGAGGCAGCAAGACACACGGGAACCGATGCAGGCTTCCAATGGGCCTCGAGCCCCTCTCGTCCGAGCCTATCACCTCCTGACGTCCCCGACATGCGACGTCCTGACTTCTTTCACGCGCCAGCTCTGGCAAAAGCCCGCCCCGGCTTCTCATCCCGAGTCGGTGTTTGACGGCCCCGGGGCTCGGCGAAGGCTCCCGGAGGCCGAAAGGCTCCAGAATCCTCCCGTCGTGATTTTTGTAACGACGCGATCATGTCTGGGGTTGCCCCCGTAGGAGGCCACATGCGAACCCTACCCCACCTCCCACCTTAGAAATCGTGGGGTGGTGGGGCAGGCTCGGGTGTGTCCCTCTACAGGAGGAATTCTTTGAGAAAAATAATCAGGGGACGATGTTTCGACTATGTTTGACTATGTTTGAGCATTGTTTGACAACTTTTCATTTCTCCTTCAGAATCCGCCTGTAGGGGGACGTGCCCGACCTGATTCTACGATCGCCCTACATTGGCCCGAGAGGCCCCAACGGGCGAACCAAGATAACCCTACCCCACCTCCCACCTTAGAAATCGCATGTGGCCTCCTACCCGGAGGTCCTGCTCCAGCAGCCAGCGCAGCAGCTCCACGCTGCCAGACGTCGCGGCCAGCAGGGCGCAGCCGAGCCCCTCGTCGTCGGCCGCGCCCGGGTCGGCCCCCGCGGCGAGCAGCGCGGAGACCGCCTCCTGCGGCCAGCGGGGCGGGGCAGACAGACTTGACCCAGGCGACGCCAGACCCGAGGGGCACACCCGACCTCGACAGCAAGCCGCGCAAACCGAAGTGCGGCTTCCTCGCTGCCCCGATGTCGGGAGCGGCCAAGAAGGGGGTGTCCAAGAGGGGGGGTGCAAATCATGACCGGCGACATGTGCGCGGCCCAGCGGGGGGGCCAGGGACGTAATGAAATAAAAAGAGGCGCCATGAAATCTGGGGAAATATCATGCCCCCCACCATGATATCCACCCCCCCTAGTCATCACCCTCCCTCTTTGCCGCCCCCGAAGGTTTTGGGCCACTTTCGGCCTCCAGGATCCCTCACCGGATCACGGGCTCGTCCGACGAAAGCGGGCCGAGTGGCGTGCACACACACACAAACACACAAACACACACACACACAAACACACACACACACACACACGCACACACAACTCTCCGACGATCTGTTTGTTGTTCGATCCGGGCATTCTTATGAGGCCGAGCTCGGCCTATGATGTTCCAACCTACTTGAGCCGTGACCACCAGAAATAGTTTCGAGCACGCAGTAAGCACCACAACCTGAGGATTTTCACGTGACGGGCCCTGGGATAGGCGACACTCGTTCGAAACTGTTCCGACGCTCTTTTCTGGGTGCTCGAAATCATATTGGGGATGTTGTCCTTAAGTAGGATGGGAGCAGCATGACGCTCGGGGCCTCTGATCGGCTGCACGCAAGAGTGACCCTGGGCAAGAGTGACCTTTCGTGCGCGGACTAACGGGGCGCGAGGTGGCCGATTCCAAGCGCGCAAGCAGCCTCTATCGCATCGCGCTCAGCCATCCGGGGGGGACCCCGGTGAGCCCGCACCACAGGTCACTCTGGCCAAGGGTCACTCTTCTGGCCATCGCTCGGACGTCCATTCCCTGTGTCTTTTGTCGCTTTCGTGCGTGGTTGTTTCGCCAGATGATCAAGGATGCTCCTCGATGGTCCTCGCCGAAGGCAAAATGCACACGCCCGAGCGATGCCAAGTCTTACGCGTGGTCGATGTCTGAGGCCGAGGACCGCACAAAGCAGATGGCCGGGCGTCCGGGCCCGCCCGCTGCGCCCCCTGCGGTGCCCCTCCTCGATCGTGGAGGAGGAGGAGGAGGAGGAGGAGGAGGAGGAGGAGGAGGAGGAGGGGAGGAGGAGGAGGAGGACGACGAGGAGAGGAGGAGGAGGAGGGGGAGGAGGAGGAGGGAGGAGAGGAGGAGGGAGGAGGAGGAGGAGGACGAGGAGGAGGGGGAGGAGGAGGAGGAGGAGGAGGAGGAGGAGGAGGAGGAGGAGGAGGAGAGGAGGAGGGGACGAGGAGGAGGAGGAGGAGGAGGAGGAGAGGAGGAGAGGAGAGGAGGAGGAGGGGGAGGAGGGGAGGAGGAGGAGGAGGAGGAGGAGGAGGAGGAGGAGGAGGAGGAGGAGGAGGACGAGGAGGAGGAAGAGGCGGAGGAAGCCTCCTACCCTCCGCGCGGAAGGGCCCGCTGCCTGCAGGGGGGGGGGACCGTAGGGGCGAGGCGCCCCGGGCGAGGAGCCGAGCCTCCTCCCCAGGCCCCCGACGCCGTGACTCGTTTTTACTGCGCTTCCGATCATGGACCCCTCGCCACGCATCCTGGCCTTTGAAGACCGCCGAGAGACCGCCGAAGACCGCCAGCCCGCGCACCCCGCCGCGGGCGCTGGGGCCCGACGCAATCTTCCGGCGGTCTTTCGGCGGTCCTCCGGCGGTCTTCCGGCGGTCTTCCGGCGGTCTTCCGGCGGTCTTCCGGCGGTCTTCCGGCGGTCTTCGGCGGTCTTCGGCGGTCTGGACGGCGGTCTGGACGGCGGCCCGTCATGGTCTTCGGCGGTTTTCGGAGGTCATCGGTGTAAAAGCAAAACATCTCGCGTTAACGAGGTGTCCATGATCGAACACGCAATTTTCACAGCGTCGACCCCCAGGGATCACGACTCCCCCCCCGGGACCAGCTTCTCCTCCCGAGTCGTTTCTGCAATCTTCGTCGTCAGGATTAAGGAAGATTGAGCCCTACTAGTTGCGAGACTGCTACGCCGGATTCGGCTGCAACTTCAGCGGGATGAAGCCGGATCAAACGGGATCAAGCCGAATGAAACGGGATTGAGCCGGATGAGGTCGGATTTCGGACCAGGGCAAAGCCAGAACTTGACCTCCCGGGAGCTGCATCCGAAGCTTGTTGACGGCCCCGAGGGCCGGTGAGGGCCCCCCGGAGGCCGAAGCTAGCGAAAAGCCTCCCGCCGGGATTTCTGTCGCAGCGCGAGGGGGTCTGGGCCTTAGTGGGCCCCGGAAACGGCAGGGCCGTTCTTTCACCGTTTCCGAAAAAGTGTCCCTTGAAAATGGAAACGGCAAAAAAATGGCGACCGGAAACGGCAACAAAAACGGCTCCAAGATTGGAGCCGGAGCGCGAACCCGTAACAAGAACGGCGACGGAACCTGTAACAAAAACAGCGTCGGAACCGGCAAAAAAAGGCAAAACGGAACCGGTAAAAAAACGGCCCTGTCGTTTCCAGGGCCCACTACCCTGACCTTCCAGAGAGCTATTTTTTAGCACTGGAGACCTAAAAACTTAAAGAATGAAACGAAACAGCCTAAAACCAAAACGTAGAATAGCTCGGGGATAGGTTTTTAAGTCGCGTGCTATTTTTTAGCCCTCCTGGAAGGTCAGGGAAGGTCTGGGCTCGGCGGCCGAGCGGCCTCGGGTCCAGCGGCCCCTGTCGGAGCTGAGCTGCAGTCGACCGCCGGGCGGCCTTGAGGCCTGTGGCCTGCTGGCGGCGGCCGGGCGGGCCCCCCGAGGCGCCGTGGCGCCGTGAAGGCAGATCGCGGCGGCGGCTTCTGGGCCGACAGTCCTATAGAGTCATAGGTCAACACCCCAACAGTCGGGGCGTTGACCCAAGGAACCCAAAATAAGGAACGAGGCCCCTTTTTTCCGTTCTGTTGAACTTCGATTTCCGATCGAAAACATAAGGAAGGAGTCATCAACGCCCCGCAGATCGCGGCGGAGGCTTCTGGGCAACTGCCCCCTCCCCCAGGGGCCCTCAGCTCGGGGGCGCCCAAGACGGGGGTGTCCAAGTGGGGCGTGTGCAAATCGTGGCCCGAGGCACGTGCGCGGACCGGGGGGGGGTGGCAGGGAACGCATTGAAATAAGAAAAGGCCATGCAATCTGGGGAGACATCCTGGCCACCGCCATGATGTCTCCCCCCCTAATCATCCACCCCCCTCTTTGCCACCCCCGATCAGCGGGCCCTGGGGCTGTGAAACAACGAGCTAGGATGAACATCTTGTCAGGGTTGGTCAACTCCTGGTTGCCAGCCCGGCAAGCAGCGAGCAGCGGCGTCTCGCCACCAGGGCCCGGCCGGTTCACCACCTGGGGGGCCATCACCACCCCGACCTGTCCAATGCCCCCCTCCCCCTCAAGTGGGCGGGGGAGAGGGAGGAAGGAAGAGGAGGGAGGAGGGGGGGGATGAGGAGACAGGGGCAAGGATAAGGGCGGAAGGAACAATATGTTTGCGCATTTCTTTGTCTTTGTGTTTGTGTGTGTCGTGTGTGTGTGTGTGTGGTTGGTTTGTGTGGTTGATGTGTGTGTGTGTGGTGTGTGTGTGTGTGGTGTGTGTGTGTGTGTGCGTGCGTGCGTGCGTGCGTGCGTGCGTGCGTGCGTGCGTGCGTGCGTGCGTGCGTGCGTGCGTGCGTGTGTGTATCTGTTTGTGTATGTGTGCGTGTGTGTGCGTGTGTGTGCGTGTGTGTATGTGTGTGTGTGTGTGCGTGTGTGGCCCGCCGCTCCCCTATTGGGTGTGGCCTTCTCGCGTTTCCCGCATTCGGCTGGCGTTCGTCGCCGCTTGCCGCCGCCTTTCTCCTCGCCTGTGCCTTTGGTTCGCCTGGGCTCGGCACTCGCCCTTTTGGCCTCGGCACCCGCTGCGGTCTGGGTGTCGCTGGCTTCGTGACTCCTCGCCTCGCCTCGCCGGTGGCCAGGCACGCCTCGACGTCGGCTGTCGTCCCGCCTGCGCCCTGGGCCCGCCGCTCCCCCAACTGGCGTGGCTTTGCTCCTTCCCGCCCTGGCTCGCTGCGCCGTTGCGCGTCGCCGGCCAGGTCTTCCTCTTCCGCGCCCTGCGCCTCGTGGGCCGCTCGGCCTCGGCGCTCCCCCACCGTTGCCGACGCTCGGGGTGCTCTCCCTTGGTCGGCGGGGCGGGGCTCTGCCGTGCTGTCCCTGCTCCCCCCCCTGAGATCCGGCGTCGTGATTTTTTCAATACGGGGTCCCAGGAAGTCTCGACCCATTCCCCAGGGCCGGTTTTTCATCCTGAGTCGTTTTTTGACGGCCCCGAGGCCCGGGAAGGGCCCCCAGAGGCCGAAAACTGTAAAAAAACAGCCGCCGTGATCTTTTCAATGCGTTGGATCTCTCTGGGCCTGCCGCCGCCCTGCCGCGGGCGGCCTGCTCCCGCCTTCTGCGCAGTGCCGCCCCGCGCAGCGCAGCACAGCCGTCGCCAGGCCTTCCCCTTGGCGCCCTCGCTCGTGGGGTGCCCTCGCGCCTGCTCGCGCCCTCTCCTCCCCGCCCACGCCTCGTCGGCCCGCAGGGCTGTGCGCCTCGGCCCCTCTCGGGGGCGACGGCGGGGGCGAATAGCCCAGGGGAGAGCCATACACCCTGCGAAATGCTTAAGAAATCATGGGTTAAGAAATTCATAGTCTCAGAAATTGAATGTATCCCAGAACTTCTATCAACATCTTGGGATTTACATTGAAAAATTAAGAATAATCGAGACTCTGGACGAAAATTCAGGTTTTCTTAAGCATCGCCTAGGGTGTACCTGTAATGCGAGATGACGATTACTTTAAACAATGGGAGAGGACGATTACAAGCAACAGTTTCTGCTATTTCTGCACAGCTTTCTGCCTGGAGGAGAGCGATTTAAAAAGTAGTTGTCCAGCCCGCGGCCGGTTTTTTCTAATCGTCATCCCGGGCGCCGCCGCGTGAACACGACCCCCGGCCACCTATTAATCGTCATCCTCCATTATGCAGGTGCGCCGATGATCAATGTTTTCGAAGAGGCCCCTTGGCGAATGCGTGGAATGCCCGCCCCTGGGCTATTCGCCCCTATCGTCGCCGCCGACCATCCTTGGACCGTGCCTTGGCCCACTGGGTTGGGACTCTGCTCCGTTGTGTCTCTCCATCACCAGTTGCAGCTCGGTGCTGCTTCCCCCCCCCCTGGCTTCAGCTCTGTTCAGCTCGGTGCAGCTCAGTGCCGGCGCTTGTACCCCCCTTCGGCGCTCCCATCCGCCGCAATCGGCAACTCTGAGTGGCCCGGCTTTCCCTCCCCTTGTCGCGGCGGGGTTCCTCCTCCTCCTCCTCCTCCTCCTCCTCCTCCTCCTCCTCCTCCTCCTCCTCCTCCTCTTCCTCCTCCGAGCATTGCAGCTTAATTTGCATACAGCGTGTCCCCTGTTGCCTATCCGCCGGAGCAGTGGCCCTCTGCCCAGCCGCCGACGCAACAATTGTGTGTATGTGTGTATGTGTGTATGTGTGTATGTGTATGTGTGTGTGTCGATATGTTTGAATACAGCGTGACCCCTGTTACCAATCCGCCGGAGCAGTAACCCTCTGCCCAGCCACCGACGCAAAAGTGTGTGGGTGTTTGTGTTTTTGTGCCGAGTGCTGCGTGCTGTGCTGTGTGCTGTGTGCTGCGTGCTGTGTGCTGTGTGCTGTGTGCTGCGTGCTGTGTGCTGCGTGCTGCGTGTGCGTGTGCGTGTGCGTGTGCGCGTGCGCGTGCGTGTGCGCGTGCGCGTGCGGGTGCGCGTGCGCGTGCGCGTGCGCGTGTGCGTGCGCGTGCGCGTGTGCTGTGTGCTGTGTGCTGTGTGCTGTGCTGTGTGCTGCGTGCTGCGTGCTGCGTGCTGCGTGCTGTGTGCTGCGTGCTGCGTGTGCGTGCGAGTGTGCGTGTGCGTGCGCGTGCGCGTGTGCGTGCGCGTGCGCGTGCGCGTGCGCGTGCGTGTGCGCGTGCGCGAGCGCGTGCGTGTGCGTGCGTGTGTGTGCGCTTGTTGTAGCTCCCCTCTCGGCCTACCCACGCCACGCTCCCGCCCAGTTTGGCGTGCACGGCGCATCATCTCTTGCCACCCTGCCCGGATGACTCTGCTCTTCCACGCCCTCGCGCCGCGCTTCCGCTGGGAGGCCCAGCGTCGGGACGGTGCGCCTCCCCCCCCGCCATCCCTGCCCGCATGGTTTGCTGCTGATGCTGCGCGCGGAGCTGCACCGATCCCTCGGAGGGCCCGGCCGCTCGCGCTTCGGATCCGACCCTTCTCCGCCCCGACGCTGCGCCCGAGGCCGCGACCGCCCAACTGAGCATCGCTCAACCGACCCCCCATCCCCACCAGCGTGGGCTGGGCCCCGCTGGCCGACTTGCCCCCCTGGAGATGGGGGTGCAAGCTGCTCCCTTCGGGCTTCGAGGGGCACATCCCCGACGGAGGTGGCGAGACGGTGGGGCTCGAGGTGTGGATGGGGATGGGGATAAGGATCGGATAAGCGATACTTGCCACCAGTGTCTTCGTGTGTGGCCTCCTGCGCGCCACCGTGCTGGCCGCGCCGCCCGGCCCCTGGAGCAGGCAGCGCACCGCCTCGGCGTCGCCCTGCCCGCACGCCGCCAGCAGCAGGCCCAGCTGGCTCTCCTCCGGCTCCCCGGCGCCGTCGACGTCCATTGCGCCCGCCCTCGCGGCTGCCGAGCTGCCGCCGCGCACCATGCCCGCGGCCGGAGCCGACGAGGACACGAGCGGCATGGGCCGGGGAACCTCCGCAGCCCCGCGCGGAATTCCTGGATCGGCGCCGGGGCCCGCGGCGCCGGGGGCGCCGCCACCAGGGGGTGCGGCTCCAGCGCTGGTGCCAGAACTCCGCGCGGACCTCCGACAGCTCCTGCACATGCCGCTGTCTCTTCTTCGGCCACGGCGGGAGGCCAAGTCGGGCCCGAGGCAGCAGCGGCTCGAGCCCAAGCTTCCCACGGGGGGCGCGGCATTCTCTGTGGGTCCCCGGGGGCCGGGGCGCGGCGCCCAAGCTCGAATGCCCCGCGCCGCCGCGTCGAGGCGAACACGGTCCTGCCGCAGCGCAGGCTTGTGTCGTGACGACCCCGGCGTTGGTGTCTGACACCGCGGCGATCGTTTACAGTCGGGCCTAGGATTGTGGATGTCATGACAATGGACACTCTAGCAATCCTATCATATGTGCTTAACATGTGTAAAGCATGTGTAAAGCATGTTCTAAACATGTTTCAAACATGTCTTTAATATTTCAAACATGCTTGAAACATTGTATTATCAAATAGGAAATTCGCTGGCAACATGCTTCCTCTCCATTAATCGACTTCCACAAACCTAAAACAGAATCCGCCGGCCCCCTTGCGGGGCCACGAGGCTGTAGGCCGGAAATGTGCTGCTCCCTGTGCCAGTTGCAGCTTCCAGTTTCCACTGTTACAGTTCTGCTTCTTGCTGCTTACTGTTCCTTTTGATGAACGCGCGATGGGGGGGGGAGCCCAAACCAGCAGAACTACCACGCCCTGGGAGGGTTCTCAAAATTTCTGGGGGGGTAAAAATAAACACCCCTCACGCAGATCCGCAGGGTCGGGGTCCAAAACACAGGGGATGTGCAACATTTATCAAATTCGGTGGCACCCCTCATGCAAATCGGCGGGGTCAGGGTCAAACGAACCATGGGATTTGCCACATTTCTAAAATTCGGTGGCACCCATCACGCAGATCGGCGGGGGAAGGGTCCAAAAGCACACGGGATTTGCAACATTTCTCAAATTCGGTATCACCCCTCACGCAGATCGGCGGGGTCAAGGTCCAAAAACATATGGGATGTGCAACATTTCTAAATCCGGTGGCACCCCAAACACAGATCGGCGGGGTCAGGGTCCAAAAACCACAGGGGATGTGCAACATTTATCAAATTCGGTGGCACCCCTCATGCAAATCGGCGGGGTCAGGGTCCGAAAACACAGGGGATGTGCAACATGTCTGAAATCCGGTGGCACCCCTAACACAGATCGGCGGGGTCAGGGTCCAAAAACCACAGGGGATGTGCAACATTTATCAAATTCGGTGGCACCCCTCATGCAAATCGGCGGGGTCAGGGTCCGAAAACACAGGGGATGTGCAACATGTCTGAAATCCGGTGGCACCCCTAACACAGATCGGCGGGGTCAGGGTCCAAAAACCACAGGGGATGTGCAACATTTATCAAATTCGGTGGCACCCCTCATGCAAATCGGCGGGGTCAGGGTTCGAAAACACAAAGGGTTTGCCACATTTCTGAAATCCGGTGGCACCCCTCACGCAGATCGGCGGGGCCAGGGTCCAAAATCAAAGGGAAGTGCCACATATCTGAAATTCAGTTGCACCCTTACGCAGATCAGCAGTGCAGGGTCAATAGAAACAATAGCATTTGCACCATTTTTCCCTACCTAGGCTCTGCCTAGAAGGGTTCTTACTCTCTTAGCTTAAAGGGGCCGGGCAGTGTAAAGCGCCCCGGGCGGTTCCCCCAGTCCCCGCCCCGCGGTTCCCCCCAGTCCCCTGGGAGCTTTAGCTTTAGCTTTAGCTTTAGCTTAGCTTTAGCTTAGCTTCAGCTTAGCTGTAGCTTAGCTTTAGCTTAGCTTCAGCTTAACTTTAGCTTAGCTTTAGCTTAGTTTTAGCTTAGCTTTAGCTCAGCTTTAGCTTAGCTTTAGCTAGCTTTAGCTTAGCTTCAGTTTAGTGTTGGCTTAGCTTTAGCTTAGCTTCAGCTTGGCGTTAGCTTAGCGTTAGCTTAGCTTTAGCTTAGCGTTAGCTTAGCTTCAGCTTAGTTTTAGCTTTAGCTTTAGTTTTAGCTTAGCTTTAGCTTAGACTTAGCTTAGCTGTAGCTCAGCTGTAGCTCAGCTTTAGCTTAGCTTTAGCTTAGCTTAGCTTTAGCTTAGCTTTAGCTTAGCGTTAGCTTAGCTTTAGCTTAGCTTTAGCTTAGCTTTAGCTTAGCTGTAGCTTAGCTGTTGCTTAGCTTTACTGTTACTACTAATGCTGCTTTCCTAGGGGCTCCAACTCCTAGGTAGGGTCGCACTGGGATAATTGATAATTCGGTTGCACCACACACGCAGATCGGCGGGGCCAGCGTCCAAAAACACAGGGAATGTGCAACATTTTGGGAATTCGGTTGCACCCCTCACGCAGATCGGCGGGGTCATGGTCCAAAAACACAGGGGACGTGCCACATTTCTGAAATTCGGTGGCACCCCTTTCGCAGATCCGCAGTGCAGGGTCAATAAAAACAATAGCATTTGCAACATGTCTGAAATTCGGTAGCACCCCTCACGCAGATCGGCGGGGCCAGGGTCCATAATAATAAAAGTAACGGTAATAATCATCATCAGCCGGCCCTCTTGTGGGGCGATCAGGCTGCGAGGGTCAGGGTTGCTGCTCCCTGCACCAGTTGCAGTTTCCAGTCTTCAATGTTACAGTCCTGCTTTCTGCTTCCTACTGTAAATTGTTTAAATTCTCGCGAAGGGGGTAGCCGAAAAGCGCCCGGTTACCACACCCGAATCGCGTTGTCTGAATTCCTGCAGGGCCGTGGGACACGTAAGAATATATGAGATTCGCGCCCTCGACGTAATAATCCTTCGTACATTGGGCCGTATTCGCGCCCCCGAAGCCACGATCCCTCATAAAATACCCCATGTTCGCGCCTCCGAGGCCACGATCTCCTGCAAATTACCCTACATTCGCGCCTCTGGGGCCACGATCTCTTGTAAATCACACTGCACTGGCGCCCCCGCGGCTACGATCTCTTATCAATTACTGCCACGTTTGCGCCCCCGCGGCCACGATCCCTTCTAAATTGCATACGTTCGCGCACCCGAGGCCACGATCCCTTGTAGACTATTACGCCACATTCGCGCCCCCGACGCCACGATCCCTTGTAAATAACACCGTGTCCGCGATCCCGAGGCCACGATCCCATGTAAATTGAGACACGTTCGCACCCTGGAGGCCACGATCCCATGCAAAGAGGCCGCAAAGAGCCCCAAGACGGCCCCAAGAGGGGCCCAAGCAGGCCACCACGAACCGAAAAATCTAGATCTGTGCCCCGAGAAGCCCCCAGGAGGCCCCTCGAGACCGCCAAGAGGTCACAAGACGCGCCCACAAAGAGAAAGAGGCCCAAAGATGCCCAAAAGATGCCCCACGAGGTCCCAAGAGGCCCCCAAGAAGCGTCCAAACTTCCTCCACGAGGCCTCCGAGAGGCACCCCACGACACCCCAACACATATACAAGAGACCTCAGACCCACAGCCCAGGCACCGTAGGGGGATGAGCCGAAAGCCACGCCAACGTCTGGATATGCGCTGATGACTCGTTTCCGCTCCCGCATGATGTTTCCAGATGCGCCAAGGCAGCGTCGTGACGCACCGACGCGACTCTGATAGATCCCATTATGCGAGAGAGGGGGCCGGCGGCAGGGGGCGAAGCCCTTGCGGATATCATACTTCAAGAACGCGAGACCATCCGCCGGCCAAGACACACAGGACATCCAAGCGGAACCCTCCCCCAGGGTGCACAAAAGCACCCAACAAGCACGAAGAACATCAGGGTACGCTCCCCGATCTGACCTCGGTCTGATGCCTCGGCCCGACTGTATATAACCTTGAAGGGCTGGCGGCTTCCCGATCGTCGTCGCCAGGTGTATCCAAACATGGCCCCGTTCTGGGCAACAACTGGCGGCGTTCAGACTTCGAATGCCCGCGCCGCCGCCGCCGCCGCCGCCGTGTGGAGGGAGCGCACGAGCCTGCCGTGTAGCCGAGCTCTCTCTTGCCGCGTCGGCACGGATAGTGCCAGGAGCGGCGCTCGGTGTCCTCGTCTGACCTCCTACCCCTGCTCATCCTGCTCTCTCTCTCTCTCTCTCTCTCTCTCTCTCGTTTTTTTTGTCTCTCTCTCTCTCTCTCTCGACTGATTGAAATAGTCGTCTAAACCTAGGGCCTGGGGTCTCAGACCGATCCTGACTTCTCACGTCTTACAATCCGCCGTTCCACGTGGGAGCAGACCGTCTCCAGCGGGTCTATGACCATCTCGGCCGACGCCGCCTTTGCGTCGTTCACGGTCTTCTCCTGCTCCTGCTCCCCCTCGTCCTCCCCCAAATCACTTACGCGCGCAAGCAGCAGCCCGAAAACGGCTGCAGGGCTTCCCTACCCCCTCCTCTTCCTCTTCCTGGTCCTGTTCCTGTTCCTGCCTCCTTCTCCTCCTGTTGCCCCTTGTATTATCTCCATCATCCTTCTCCCCCGCCTCCTCCTCCTCCTCCTCCACCTCCTCTTACTCCTCACACTCCCTCCTCCTGCTCTGTACGACTGCGTCTCCACCTGCGCCTAGTATGTATCCTCGGCCCTCCCATGTTCAATTACCCTCTCTGCTGTTTTTCTCCTTTTCATTTGTCCAGCCTTCTCGCTGCCCCTTCCATCTGGCGGCCGCTCAAGTGGGGTTGGAAGATCGCACCGACTCGGCGATGCATCGGCAGCGTGGGGAGATGGAGCCGCATCGCAAATGCATCAACGATGCGGCGCGATCCTCCGACACCATCTGGCCGACTCCCGCAAATCCTGAACCCCCGAAAGCATGCCATCTCTTGTGGGACGCACCTTCTATTTTCGCAGGCTTCCGCCGGCGGAGCCGCCCCCGGTTTCCCTCTTCCGCCGCCATCCGCTGGCCTTCTGCCGGGGAAGAGAAGGCAATCTCTCG